TGACGAAATGGGTAAAAACCAAACCCGTTTTACAGCTACCTGCGAACTAAATGATAGAAATAGAACCTTTGACGTGAAAAATTTGTTTTATGAAGCTGTCAGCAGAGTGACGGCAAACCATTGGAAATATTGCATCCGTCACGTTAAAGAGACAATAGAAACAAAGATGTGGGATATGGACAATACGATCGATATTCAAATTGAACCTTTAATAAATAATTATTATAAATAATCATTTATTTTATTAGATTATTCCAAGACCATTGAGAAAAATACGGACCTGTACAATCTCGCTTTTGGGCATGTTGTGTTTTGTCTGGGCGTAAATGGACTACGAATGGAGTATAGTAAGATACTTTCACAAAAAACGAAAGAATCTTGAGAAAATATAACAACAAATTGAAAAAAATAATGGGCAATTCCGCAAAAAGAAGGAAGGTGGCAGAAAAAAAGTATAGGTAACCCGGGCAATACGTATTTCTGCTTGTTATCTATATACCTTTTACCGCATTATCCTTTCTTTTTTGTAGATCCTTTAGGCATGGAATACGACAGCAAGTGGCTATAACCGGCTGCGTGTTTGTCGTTAGATGTCTTCTGACCATTATACCGCAATGTGCAGGTTGGCTCTTGTTGGTGATTTCGTGTGTCGTTTTGTTCCTTCTCCATCCTCGTTTCCTCAAATTACGTGTACACCCGTATCCGGATATATGGGCATGTGTGTCTACTCTTGTAGTTACATAATATGTGTCTTCACTTCGGACCTGATGAGGCCAACAAGCAGAAATACGTATGGCTCGAGTTATCTATCCTTTTTGTCTGCTCGAGTCCACTTTCCTTCTTTTTATTCTACTTATCATATTCTCGTTGATGCTTTTTTGGGAATAACCTATATTTCCGATAAACTTTATTTACTACTTACTCGTGAGTCTGCATATATTTGCAGCTGAAATTTTTTGAATAATGATTCTGAGGAGTCGATGAGTCGTTAAAGCTAAAAAACTTCCTTTCGCTGCAAGACCAAGACTAATTCTTACTTAGACTGGGTGTTTCAGTTTATTGTTGCATAACTTTAAGATTCGATAGAACTTTTAAAATTAATGCATAAAGTCTATATAAACATGGGTCGAAAAATGCGTGGCTTCCGAAATGCAGGGTGTTTAAATTTACTTTCTAAAATAGTTTTTTCTAAATATTTCGAACAATATTTGATGTATAACAGTGAACATTGGTATACAAGGGTTTTTTGATACGACAAAACGAAACATGGGCATAGTTTTACTGTAGCCGCTAGATGGCGCTCTCTACTGTACCTGTAGTGTATTACAATGACCGAAATTTTTTTTGTTAGTGCAATTTTTTGCTTTTTGAATAAAAAAACTGATTCTTCGCACTTTTCAACATAAAAAAGCTCTCTTGTGAATTTTCGTTATAGTTAGCCGTTTTTGACATATTTCGATTTTTAAGGTTCGGTGCATTTTTAATTATTTATGATAAAATAACGTTAAACAGTCAGTATCTCGATAATTTTTAGAAGTAGTCTGTGCCTGCAAATATTTTTGAAATTGAAAGCAGAATAAGGTTAAACATCAATTAGTTGACAGTTAGTTTTGTTGTCTGTTGAAACCTGAAACGTTTTTTTGCAATTGTGAATGCACGAAATTTAGTTTCTTTTACCTGTTTTTTTTGTAAGTTTTATAAAAATGCCATTTTTATTCTCCAATCAAGAGTTAGCGGATATTCATTTTGTGTATGGCTTTGTAAATGGAAACGCAGCAGAAGCAGTCAGAGATTACGCACGAAGATTTCCAAACAGACGACATCCAACTCGCTCAGTATTTGTAAGAGTGCATCGCCAAATAATTGAGAGTTTCTGGTGCCTTGGGAATTTCAGCAAGCCATGTTCACCGTGTTCTTAGAAATGACCATAGACGTCCTTACCATTTGCAACCTGTGCAAGGACTACAGCCAGGGGACGGAGAACGAAGAATCACATTTTGTCAGAGGATTCTTGATAGAACTGATAATAATAGGGAGTTTTTAAGTAACGTTTAATGGACCGATGAGTCATGCTTCACTAGACGTGGAGTGGTAAATTTTCATAATCAACATATTTGGTCACATGAAAATCCGCATGCAGTTCGGGAAAGAAATTTTCAGCATGAATTTAGTGTGAACGTGTGGATTGGTATCTACCGTAATCGACTATTTGGACCCTACCTTTTGCCTGCAAGGTTAAATGCTGCGACCTTCTTGGAATTTTTAAAGGCTGAACATGCAAATATGTGGAATCATGTTATGTTAGATTTAAGAAGATTGGCCTGGTTCCAGCTCATTATTCGAGAATAGTTAGAAACTGGCTGGACGAAAATTATCCAGAAAGATGGATCGGCCGTAGAGGACCAGTCGCCTGACCTCCACGATCCCCTGACCTAAATCCATTAGATTTCTTTGTGTGGGGATTTCTAATAGAAAAACCACAAGAGATATGCTAATAGACAGAATCAGGAATGCATGTGATGAAATAAGGCCTTATTTGAATAATGCTATACCACGTTCGATCATTCGTAGATGTGAATTGTGTATTGAACAATTGGGCTTACATTTCGAGCAACTACTTTAGATTTTGTATGTTTGTCCTAACTATCCAATAGCATTTTAGTTGTAAATAATTAATTTAATTTGTTAAAAATAATATTGGAAAATTAAACAAATTAATATTCTGTTTTTTGTGTTTATTTGGAGTTAGGAATTATTGCTGTGTTTAAAAACACAATCTAAACGATCATCTTAATTACTTGTAATGCCCAAATCGGAAATGTAAACAAAAATATTATTTTCCCATAAATAATTAAAAATGCATCGAATCTTAAAAATCGAAATATCTCAAAAACGGCTAACTATAACGAAAACTTACAGGCGAGCTTTTTTATGCAGAAAAGTGCGAAAAATCAGTTTTTTTATTCAAAAATCAAAAAATTGCACTAAGAAAAAATTTTCGGTCATGTTAATACACTACAGGTACGTACGCGCCCTCTAGCGGCTACAGTAAAACTATGCCCATGGTTCGTTTTGTCGTACCAAAAAACCCTTTTATACCAATTTTCACTGTTATACATCAAATATTATTCGAAATATTTAAAAAAAACTATTTTAGAAAGTAAATTTAAACACCCTGTATTTCGGAAGCCACGCATTTTTCGACCCATGTTTATATAGACTTTATGCATTAATTTTAAAAGTTCTATCGAATCTTAAAGTTATGTCCGAAAAAACAGTCGACGTTTCTAGATCTTTTTTGGCAATTAATGTTAACAATTCCTTGTAATTTCCTCTATTTTCAGAATCATCCCCTTCAAAATGAACGGTAATTCCTGTTTTGCCAAAAAACATACAGTATCCAGAAGTGTGCTGCCTAAAAGCTTGGTTAAGACAACTTTCGATTCTTGTTTTGCCAAACTGAATTAAATTGGCCACACATCTCACATGTAACGGAGAAATTTCGTGTCTCCTCTTTAGAACCCTAAAACTATTTAAATCGACTCCGCTGCCACCAATTTTTTTCTGTGTAAAACAGATGTCTTCTTTTTTTCGTCACTCAGTATACGTTCAAATTTACAGAAACGTGGGCGGAAAACTTGGTGCGAACCAAATATAGATCTTTATAACCTATAATTTTTCAACTATTCAATTAATACCTCCAAGAAATAATTTGCATTATCTTTTAACTCTTAACTTTTTAGAAGCATTCAAATTTAGAAATTCTATTTTGGGCAAGTAGTTTTTGCAAGGCCTTGGTCTTAGTCTTGCGGGTCAAGTTTTGGTCTTTGTGCCTTGCTGGTCAAATAGTCATCTTGGTCTTGCAAGAAATGCACTCTTGGTCTTGGTCTTGCCCTGTCTTGCGAAGTCCTACCCGCTATAATCCACGGTTTTGTGCCGTAGCACTGCTGATGGCACGGTAGTTCGGCCCTGTAATCCAATAAAAACTGCGTCGTACAGCCTCGCGTCGTTTCGCAAATATAACTGAGCTCCCTTAACCTTGAACTTGAACGTTGCAATGTCAACGCACCTCCGAGGAGTCATGAACAGCGGCCGCACTCTCTCTCACTTTTCTTATTACGCCACATGCTCCGGCAGAGATTATGCGACTACGTAGATATGCCGACTGTACGGGGTGGGGTGGCTGAACATATTTTTTGCAGTTTCAAAAATTTGTTTGCGTTATAGTAGTGAACGAATACAGAGGAAACTGCCTAGCAGTGGCAGGGAGGTCTTGCAACCAGGCAATCTTTGGCCCCTTTTTTCGACTTCATATTGACCAACATTGAACTCTTGGCGATATTTTTCTTTCCAAACTATTTGTTCAAACGTAACCTACCTTCTGATCAAGGATCTAGATGTCAGACTCCGTTATGGCGAATATCTCTTCCCGTAGAGCAGGTGGATGAAACGTCTTATGGGCGAACTGGCAACGCCAAGGTCATCCTCTCGATGCAAAATCAAGGAAACTGCATTACCGGAATTGCTTGCTGGGATTCTTTATCTTTATCTAAATGTAAAAATATCAATGTGGCGTTTGTTTTGGTTAACATCCAGACTATCAGCGCTGATAATTTCGGAGATATTTCGTTAAAAATGAGTATAAAATATAAAGCAACACTTAGGGTGGATTTCACAATTTAACAAACCATTATTCTGCACCAATAGGGTACGAGTACCAAACAGTCCGTTAAATATACCCAATCAGCCTCAAGATCTCTCCGTCAAATTTTTGGCAGCAAATAGCATCAAAGTATTCAAAACAAAGCACTGTAAAATATGAAGTGACAGCTTGCCATTGAAATCTTTAAACATTTTTAAAAATGCTTGTTGTCTGAGTAAAATCTATTTTTTCAGATTAGCTGAAGGTTTTTCCATGTTTACTGCAACTTTTGTAATCCATATGTGATTATATCACCTACTGTGTGCTTATAGTTTATCCTACATTTGCAAACTTGCACTTCCAAACCCTTACATGAAAAAGCCTTTTCACTCAAATTTTTGTTAGGTGTTGCATTTCAACACATTCATACACTTCTTTCCAGTTCCTCAACGATATTTTAACCCCACTGGTCCGAAACTGTGCAACAGTTTCAACATTCATACATACAATTGCAGTTGCAGTTTTTTTTTAATCTCAGTGTATAATCAGTCGCACCATGGTACATTCAACATAACCACGTATTTAGGGGTTCGTGCAGATTTAACGTGTACACGACGTCATCATTAGGCGCTCCTCTGGCGATGTCCGATTGTGTTCAGGTGCCTTCTGCAGGTACCTCTTCACCACGGTCAGGAGTTGATACCAGCGCGGCTCTCGTTTTTTTTGCTCTAGGCATAGCCATCCTCAATTAATCGCACAAAAAACAAGTCCAAGGCAGAAAAACACACCCGAAGACGAACACCAAAACAAATCTCTACCGCAAATTCGTCAACAACTCAAACAAAAACAACAGATGATTCACCGCCTGGCTTTGACCGTAAATCGTCGTGGAACACGATACACCACAGAATTATTATAATTACGTCAATACGAGCATAGAACAGTATAGAAAGGACTATCCAAGGGTAAGACGAGTTCCGAAACCACCCGAATCATGTCAAAAAAATGGCTGTGACGTCACCAAAACGTTTGACCACCGCTGGAAATCACTAGCTAGTTACCATCTGGCGGCGTAACATGTGGAGGACACTGGTGTAGAAACAGCTGATCCTTAAATTCGGTTACGTTAAGTCGTGCATGAGCCCGACATTATTTTTCAGTAATTACTAATAACTTTAGGTCTATGTCTACAGTAATTGCATTATGCACCTCGGAGATGTAGGGATTAACATGTTTTACACATATCGGTGTTTTAGGATGGGGACGACCATACTGTTTTGATTGCCTTGAAGAAATTCAATAACCCATGAACAAATGATTACTATTATGATGTAAAGAGAGATGAGGAATTGGTTGGAATACATTTTATATTCTATTTTCTTGCAAATCCGCACAATTCAACAGGTATGTGTAGCTATAATGATCAGATATACACACAGTATATTGAACTTAACAAATTTCGAGATTGCCATGAATTAACAAACGACCAAATCTGCTGCCAAATTTAACAGCTAGAAAATCGACCTAATATTTCTCCCATTCCTATTCGCTGAGGGGATAACGGATGTTCAAATGTACACCTATAACATAAATCAAAATACATGAAAGTTGTCCTGTTTTCTCTGTACAAAAGCATCATGTTGGAATCAAAAAGTGGTCTTGTTTATAATACAGTCGAATTTTCACGATTTTATTCAACATTTTAATAGAAATCACTGATATTCTGAGACCTTTGACAGCTTCCGTCAAATTGCATTTCGATAAGGTATTTTCCTATTGGTCCATAATAATAATGTTGGTGAAATCGGCCCTAACAGTAGCTTTGAAAGTATAAGTGAGATGCATTGTGACTATTGTGCGAGATGCAGAAGTTCAGGAGACTCCCTCATGCAGTGCGTTGATTATTCAAAATTAAATGGAATAGTTATCTCTGGAAGCTTCTTTATAATCGTTCTAGTTGGAGTTGTTATATAAAGTACGAAATTTTTTTTTGTATTAAATAACACATGGTAATATCGGTAGAGTACAGTCATAAGTTTTGCAAAAAAAAAATCTGCCCATTTAGGCCAACAAATTAAGGCAAAGCTAACTAATTAAAAATAGACTAGCTTATTTACAAAGAATGTATACTAAGTGACATATAAATCCGAACACCCAGTTTAAATGGTTTTATTTTAATAAAAGTTGGTGAATGTATTTATCTTACTGTAAATAACAAGTGAAAAAATTTTCAGCCTTATCAGTTGGACATTCCGGTTTTTATACTGCTTTTTTTTAATTCACTAACGCTCTAAAAATGAATATTTCAGCCGCAGTAAAGAATCAACGTTGGCGGATTTTGGTTCTTGACATCCTTTACGATCGGTTACGATGCCTAGAGTACGGAGACCTGTACGATTTCCTCAACTTAGTGACTTTGATAGGGGCCGTATAGTGGGACTTCGGGAAGCTGGACTTTCTTTTCGGGCAGTTGCAGTTAGAGTGCAAAGAAGTGTAGACACTGTGGTTAGGTGTTGTCAGACATGGCTTCGAGAAGGCCGTACGCAAAGAGCAAGGGGCACTGGACACCGCCGTAGAACAACAGACCGTGAAGCTCGCCGCCTAAGATTATTGGCCTTAAGGGACCGTTTCTCCACTACCAGGTCCATTGCAAATGAATGGTTTGCAGTACACGGAAGACCTATTGGCATGCGAAGTATTTACCAACGAATGAGAAGCTTTGGCTTGTTTTCATACCGGCCACACTGGGTCCTCCCTTTAACTCGAGAACACCGACGTAATCGCCTTGAGTGGTGCAGACAACGGTCACTCTGGGATCAGGAATGGAACAGTATTGTCTTTAGTGACGAGTCTCGATTTTGTTTAGGCATGCACGATGGTCGTGCCAGGGTTAGAAGGCGACGTGATGAAAGGAGAAATCCACAGTTTTTTGTTGAAAGACATGTTCATCACACTGTTGGAGTTATGGTTTGGGGTGCTATAGCTTATGGTTCCAGGTCACCTTTAATCTTCATCAGAGGTAACATGAACGCGCAGCGTTATATCCACGAAGTTCTAGAACCCCATCTTTTACCCTATCTTGACACCCTGGCAGATCCAACTTTCCAACAAGATAATGCCCGACCACATGTTGCAAGAGTCACAATAGACTTCTTTCAACATAATGATGTCACATCGTTACCATGGCTACCATGATCTCCCGACTTATCCTCAATTGAGCACGTGTGGGATATGATGGGTAGGAGATTGCTCAATTTGGAACGTTCTCCTCAGACTCTAGAAGCACTTCGAGAGGAGTTGGTGATTGCCTGGAATGAGATACCACAGGAGGACATTGACCACCTGATCAGAAGCATGCCTAGGCGCGTTGGAGAATGCGTAGCACATCAGGGTGCATCCACACATTATTAAAGGTCAAAGGGCTTTAAAGCAGTGCAATCATTTTGAAATTTTTATCATTTACTTATTATGCTTCATTAAGTACTTATAGAAAATTTTATTAAAATTAAACCATTTAAACTGGGTGTTCGGATTTATATGTCACTTAGTATATAAATTACATTCGCGTTTTCCATATTGTTTCAGAATTATCAAGAAGTGTGTTTTGTAACACAACACAACATAAATTTGGCATAAATCAAAATATGTTTACAGCATGTAATTATTTTTTGAAAATAAATGTACACGTATTTTGTGGATCATATTTAGTACTAGATTTTATTATTCTGACACTTGTTCACAGCAAAACTGCTGAAACAGATATTACTCTTATCGGGGATATTTTTATAAACATACGTCCATGAAATAATCCGTTAATATCGAAAATATCATTTTCAGCAGATTTCAAATTATGAACAAACGATATCCCCGGCACATTCATGGCATTCCTTATTCCAGCCGCATTATCGGCATTCTTTCGATAGCTAGTCCAGATCTCCAGGCAAGTAGGCGACGCAACCATCTGACAAATGTCAACGGTGTTGCCATCGTTTAACTTGCAACTCCCACTTCTTCAGTCTTATGTATTTTGTGCCGTAGTAGTAGTACGTTGTGTTCATGGGCGCCCATTGGGGAGTGGACAAGAGGGGGCATATGCCCCCCTGGCTTCTGCTTCAAAGTGAAATATTGGCAAACGGCCATTCCGTCTTAACTTTATCGGCCCATTGCCTCGGCTTGATAGAGGGCCTCCAAATGCCCAAAAATCAATGTCTGCGTACCTCCCCCGCGCTCCTCAATTTCCCCAACGGAAAAAAGGGCCCCGGGAATGCTCTCTGCCCTGGGATCCCTTCAGCTGCAGGCTCCTAACTTGCTATGGGTCCAAGGGTCCCGACATAGCGTAAGACGGCCCTGGCTCGTGAGAATATCCAGCTAAAAATGTTAAGGGATTTTCTTCCTTCTAGAGTATTAGCGACTTGGCGCAGGCTTTACACCTTCTATTCGTCATTGTCTGTCGTAGTGGACAGTAGGGCCTGTACTCTTGTTTAAACTATCATCAGTCAGCAGGTCTATCAGGTCTGGTTGCCCAGATGCCAGGCAACATAAGAAAAAATAAAGAAATGAAGAGGGAGAGCAAAGAGGAGGAAGTGAGTCGGTTGGAGGGGTGCCTTGGCATTGTAACCTAATATGTGAGAGTTTTAAATTGATCTAAAAAATAGTTTAGAGATTTGTTGTGGAAAAATTGTAATTTTGGTTGGACTTAAAATTGACTAATCTAATTTTGTTAACAGTGCGAGCCGCGGTCTTGTACGCCCGCGACTTTGCTCGACTGTGTGATCTTAAGTGACTTACGCGACAAAGGAATTTGGTTTTAACGCTTCACTGTGCTTCTGCCAGATTATCCTCTTGTCAAGAGTAACACCAAGATGTTTGGCAGAATTTTCCCATGAAATGCGAGTCCCGATCAGTAAACCTCAGACGGGGCGCCGCTACGTTTCTTTAGTAGAATAGATTGCTTGCGTTTTCGAATAATTAGTTTTGATCAGTCACCGATCTGCCCATTCCCAAACCTCAACCTTCGCACTTTGCAGCATGTCGCAACCTGCATAGAGATAAACTTCTCAGTCGCTGGAGTAACGGACATCATGCAAGAAAGGTGAATAGAGGTCCTAGAACAGCACCCTGAGGGACACAGACTCTGGTAGGCCGTACTGTCGACAAGATATCTTTAACTTTGATCCGAAGTTTCATATTTCCAGGAAGGATACCAACATTTTTTGGAGACAAACAGGAGAAGCCCTTTACGATTGGTCTATAGCAGAGGTACTTGTGCCACAGCTTTTAAAAATGCTTTCGAGACATCCGATAGCAAGATGCCAGTACATTCATTGAGAGTGGAGCCTATGGTTATGCACTCCATACCACTCTCCATTTTTAACTCCATACTATGCTCAGATTGGAAGCCAAATTACACGTTAGGGTTACATAGTGATCTAGTGAGGAATAACCTTTTCGACGAGCTTCTTTGAAATCATTATAACTTCAACGGTCTTCCACGCCGCTGGGAGGTATTGAATTCTTAGCATAACATTGACTATCGCCCGATTCTCCACAGTTTCCAGCACGGTCACATCCTTGAGGATAGTAGGTAAGTGCTGGAGAGCAATGACCATTTCTGGACCAAAGTTGATCTTATCCTTGGAGATGTTTGAGCTGCTGTGCCTGGAACGAAGGCGCGTCGATGTTCTGCACGCGCTGGTCCTGCAGGTATACTCCGGTTCTACTGGATTTTGACTCCTGGAGGAGGATCTATCCGTATAGCAGGTGACACTGTGACGCGCCATCCACGTATCCTCGTCGCGCATCCTCAAGTAATCCAGGCTCCCAATCATCGATGGTGTTGTTCTTATCGCACTTGTTCTTCTTGATGTATTTTGGATAAATTGTGAGTAACAGGTATTCTCTACGCAGGGCTACCATACATGCACCCATACGGCATCCTTCGTAGTGAAAACCCATACAATACTTCTGGTTAAGACACCAAGTTCTACGCCAACTACTCGACACAACTGAGCAACTGCCACTTGGATATATCTACTTCCAGATTTGATGTATTTCTTTGTATATCGAACACAAAGAT